ATCGAGCAGAAAACTTAAAATAAATCCATGATTTCAGAGTTGACATGTCAATTATGCGTTTGGTACGATACTTTAGTTCAAAAGCTATCGAACTAAGTCAATGAAAACGCGTGATATGAATGTTAACACCCATTTTTCTCAAAAACAAAAGAAGCGCTCCGACCGAATAAATTTTTATCTTCATCCGATAGACCGAAGTGAATTCTTTCACATTTCAATGGCGTTGTAATGCGTTAGGCCGAGTTTAGATTCCGTAGGCCGAGTTTGGCGTCATGAAGTAGTGTTAGACTTTTGACAATATCTCAACGATTGGTTTCTCTTTATCAAATCTTACGGTACGTACAGAAAGGTAAATACATTTAGAAGCCATCAGTAATAATAACACTAGTTTACAAAACAACATAAAAAGTGTGAACTTTAGTGGTTGACCAACGTTTCTAATGCAAAATCCTACGCTGAATCCAATGCCGTGGTCAGAAAAAATTAAAGTAGAGCCATTTTTGAGATATACAAAAATTTTGATTTTTTGAATTTTGGACAAAAGTACGATTACTAAAATGTCAATATCTTTGGAACTAGTGCACCAATTTTAAATCTTTTTTTATAAAAGTGAAGCTAAATAAATTTGCTATCGTTCACTAGAATGTTATGTCTTAATTAAAAATTTAATTTTGAAGTCATTTAAAAATTTACAGCATTTTTTTTATTTTTCCTTCAAATCATTCTATAATTTATTCTTAAAGTCCATTAAAAACTGGAGAAAATGAGCCTTTAATGGATGAAATCGGTTGGAAATTGTCGAAGTTATGAAATTTTTTGTAAAATCATGGAAATTGAATGTTTCAAGATTGGCCGTTGTCCCGCTCCTATGTTCATGCACCACTTCCAGTAAGCCTTTCTGCGGACGTGTACGCATACGGTGCATTTCACTAACACTACCAGCTGTCACTCAACATTAAATGGGATATTTTCAACAATATAATTTACGCTAGTGTTTGTGAGACCGCTCGGCGAGAACCTAATGCAACCAACTCAATTTGACAGCTTTCTTTCTTTAACATTGCTTAACGATGTATACGACAAAACGTGAATTCAAGTGTAAAAATGATCCTCAAAAGTTTTGTTACGCGTGTGGCAACTATATATTTACAAAATCTATCAATTTCACTGCTTCGTTGCAAACTGCATACAGGCTTTATTTTAAAATTGATCCTGGAGACTTTGACGAACCATGGATTCCAAAAGTATTATGTAGTTCGTGCAAAACGTGCTTGGCTAGGTGGATGTCAGGCGCAAGGTAAATTGATTTTTTGAATAACTTTCATATAAACAATTTATGTACAGCATGGTAGTGCTTTGTTCTTTCCTGATCGACATTATCTTACTTCATCTATTTTTGATAAGTGTTAATGTCTTACTTACTAACTCACTTATTTGTTATCTGTCAGTCGCTATTTGTCCTTTGACATGCCCACCATATGGCGTCGACCGTTTTGTCATGCAACGGATTGTTATTTCTGCTTGACAAAAGTTAAGCAACAAGGACGTCACAAAACAGTTGAGTATCCACAAGTGGCTTCTATGACAAAACCTGTTCCACATTCAAGTTCGGTCCCGTATCCTGTTTATCCAAAGCGGAAACGAGCGCCCTCTGTTGAATCGACCGTTACAAAAAGTGAGGAGGAATTCAAGGAGGAATGCGAGGAAGACTTCGAGGTGGAATTGGAAAGAAACCCAAAACTGTTTACACAATCCGAATTTAATGATTTGGTGCGAGATCTCGACTTATCGAAGGAGAAATCCGAATTGCTGGCATCACGCTTGAAAGAACACAACATGCTGAGCAAGGAGGTCAAAATTTCTTGTCACAGGAATCGTCACAAGAAATTTGACAAATATTATTCTACAAAGGAGAAGGCATGTTTTTGCCATGACGTAAACGACTTGTTTGAAGAGTTTGGTGAGCCATATGATCCAGCTGAATGGCGTTTATTCATCGATAGCAGCAAGTTGAGCTTGAAAGCCGTTTTACTGCATCAAGGGAATGAGAAACCTTCTATTCCATTAGCTCATGCCGTTAATATGAAGGAAACGTATGAATCAATAGCTCTATTGCTCAATTTGATAAATTACAATCAACACAATTGGAAAATTTGTTCCGATCTTAAAGTGGTTGCCATGTTGACTGGATTGCAACAGGGATACACAAAATATATGTGTTTTTTTGTGTAAATAGGACAGTCGAGCTCGTAAGGAACACTACGTCCGAAAAGATTGGCCAAAACGGGATAGTTTCACAATTGGTAAAGACAACGTTAAAAATGATCCTCTTGTGGTAAAAGAACGCATAAAACTTTCACCACTACATATAAAACTTGGGCTATTCAAAAATTTCGTCAAAGCGTTGCAAAAAGAAGGGCCGGCATTCCAGTACTTGAAATCAGTATTTCCAAATTTATCTGACGTAAAGATAAAGGAAGGTGTATTTGTTGGCCCACAGATCAAAAAACTGCTCAATGATTCCGCATTCAATACAGTTTTGACACCAGATGAGGAAGAAGCGTGGAAATCGTTCCAGCGTGTTGTCACAACCTTTTTAGGAAATTTCAGAAGCCCAGATTATGAGGAAGCCGTCGATGAATTGCTCAAAAATTATGAGAAAATAGGTATAAATCAAAAATATTGTGTTTGTTACATATAAATGATGGGTGACTATTGTTGGTTTCTGATTCGAGAAACAAGTTCAAAACATTGAAGACAAAGTCATTCGATTCTCAATCATTTTTAATAAAACCTAAATAAATTTCTTTTGTATCAACTCGGTTTTAAATCCTGATATGCCTTAATCAAATTGATATGTAGAGAAAAGAATCTCCCATGAAAACTTTACATGCGATTTGGATGCTTACAACGACACCTAGAAAAGGAACTCTAAAGCTGTTGTATTTCAGCAACATTTTTAAGTGTTTTACAAAAATGCTCATAACTTCGACAATTTCCAACCGATTTCATCCATTAAAGGCTCATTTTCTCCGGTTTTGAATGAACTTAAAAAATAAATTATGGAATGATTTTTTGAATCTTTTTATCCCATTAAAAATGTTGATTAAAACAAGATTTTTATGGAAAATTCACAGGAAAAATAAAAAAAAAATGCTGTAAATTTTTAAATGACTTCAAAATTAAATTTTTAATAAAGACATAATATGGTAGTGAACGATAGCAAATTTATTCAGCTTCATTTTCATAAAAAAAGATTTAAAATTGGTATTAGTTCCAAAGATATTGACATTTTAGTAATCGTACTTTTGTCCAAAATTCAAAAAATCAAAATTTTTGTATATCTCAAAAATAGCGCTACTTTATTTTTTTCTGACCACGGCATTGAATTCAGCGTAGGATTTTGCATTGGAAATGATCATCACCTTACCGAGTTCAAAAATGCTGTAAACTAGTGTAATATTCCGTTTGGTGCTGAACTGCTTTAGGATTAAGAAAGACTAAGTGCGGGTTGTGCTTAGTAGGCCGGAAATGGGGTAGTTAACCCTATATTGAATAACATAAAATGAAACATAAAAAAATCCCAATGAGGTAACTTTTCACCCCACCTATTATACTAGAGATATCAGGTGGTTATTTCACTTTGCTCGGGTATTGTGCACCATTCAAATAGCTGGGTAGAGTGAATAGAAAAGGTTTTAGCGTACGGTAGAGTGTTGGTAGTATACCGTTCCTACTACCTAGAGGCAGAACAATTCATATGGATCTAAGATTGGGCCCATCGCAAAAAATCTGCTATTTTTTAAATTTTATCAAGATGCACGCGTCATTCGGACGGTACTAATTAATAGTTTTGGTCGCTGTTGAAAGTTTAGTCAATTGCTGAATTTATGTATGGGTCCAAATTAAGGGCATTTAGGTCGACATTGCATCCATTTCCCTTACAATCGACAACTTTCATTTTAGTAATCAAACTAGCACTTCTTACTTCTGTGACACCTTTGATTACACCTGTTAACAAATAAAAGCTAAAAAAAATTAACTTCAATGAATCTTATGTAAAATTGTGCGCTGAATCCAAAAATGTAATCAGAAAAAAATCTCAGCAGGATAGTTTTCTAGATACAGCAAAAACAACACAAATATCTACGGCTGAAGCTTAATCAATTATTCGAACGCCCAGTTAATGGTGAGAAAAATTTATTTCGATCAATATAACATCATTTGTCAGTGAGATTAGAGGTATTGTTGTTAAATAATAGTTTGTTTAATTTAATTTTAATGTTTTGCCTATTTCCAAGAAAAAAATGATTTCAGCAAAATAGGTAAATACAAATGTTTGTAGTGGTTGTGCCTACAATACCACTTTTCTCACTAAAAAATAGTTACCAGTTATGAAGAGTTTTGAGTGTGTTGGTTTATTTTCTTTAAATTTCGTTATAATTGCTTATCTTTGAGACAGATACGCGTATTTCGTCTACAAGTAGACTTCATCAGTGCCAAGTACTCAACACCACTCAGTAACCAGTTGATCGAAAGCAAATTTTCTCACTTTTAATTTGGCATGAAAATAATTGCGGTACCACCCACCGCATAAAGGGGTGGGTTACTGTAGCTAATAATATATGATATAGTAGAAAGTATGAATCTATTGACGCCAATCATGAAAGGAGAAGCTAGACCATTTTCTTAAATCATGTTTAGTAGCTGTCCATTTCTTTTACAATTCAATGATGTTGCTATCTTGTTACTTTTGCTCCCGGTTAACATTTAATCTGCAGCGAATTGTGAACAGTATAATTTATAATGATAAATTCGATTTAATTTAAGTAACCACATAACCTACTCACATAGACTGCCATATTCGACTAATATCCATCTAACTTTTCTATGGAATCATAAATTTACAACCATGGTCGCTTTCACGCTTCAGCCAATTTTGTAACCAAACTCATACCAACCTTTCATCGGAAAAGTTCATGCCCCAATTTTAATTGCAGCGACGACGGTGAAGAGAACTCCAAATGGAACAACTTTGTCGACTCGATTCGTTCGAAGCTGACGGTGAAACAGGTGGTTGACGGGGTCCGCGCCGGTGGTTCGTTATCGTTCGACTATCTGCTGCTTATCGTTACGGCCGAGTGAGTATTATTGCGATTTGATTTCTGTTCCAATTATGCCAGGGCTTCGCTTTCTCTATCGCCGCACCGCGCCGTCGCGTTGAGGACGTGAACCCAATAATGGAACCAATCTAATTGATTTTCTCCCATTTTGGCCGGCGGCTCTTCCCCGCTTCTCGCTGCGGAACGATGTGATTATATGGTACCACCGGATGATGGGAGCAGCTCGCTGGCCGCGCTCGGCCTGGTGGAGAACAATGCTCCGAACATCGTGGCTGCCATGCTGGTCTCGCCTCTGATGGGCCCGGTGATGTCGATTACCTTCGGAACGATTATTGCCGATCGGGAGCTGGTGGTAGGTAGAATTTACACCCAATTTATTTCATCCGAACCTGTGTGGTGTAGGGTAGGTGTACCAGTGTGTTCCAATTATGGCCTATGGAATTTCCTTGGGCTTTAATTGGACCAACGCATAATAGGAACGTATAGCCATAACCGGTACACCTGCCCTAGTCATTTTGCGTTAGATCATCAAATTTGAATTTCGAAACAAGAGGGATGATTGCTGGGAGAAAATCAAAGGAGGAGTTCGACAATTTATGACCTGTCGGAATTAACTGTAGTTCTGCTTCTGGAAAAAGTGGCTGTGACTGGTTAAAAGAGGAGGTGAATGGATTGCACTGGGGTGTGAAACAATAGGAAATTTCTCTACCGTTGAGTGCAATGCGATTGTACTAGGGAACAGGGGCATACAACGCACCCCCTGGGCAGAATACACCAGCTGACTTTAATTAGTGTTTTTCATGACTTTTCCGTAACTTTTTTGTTCCATTATTCTAGCATAGCATCTGAACTCGAAATGCTGCATGATAAATCCTAGAATGGGATTAAAAATGCCAAGAAAAACTAAAAATAAAATGAAGTGCGTTCTACCCCGGGGGTGCGTTATGTACCATTCTCCCCTATGGTTCGCCGGATCTCTGAATAGCGGAGAGGTCGTTTCACAGCTGTAAATTTTAAACTAAAACAGTCGCCAATGAATGCAACAGTATCGGTTGGTGTGGTTCTTTGAGTTGGGGATGAGTTTTTGTGGAATGGGGGTTTGATAAATGTTTTCGCAGAGGTGGGTACCAAAATCAATAATATCCAAATCATTTATCTCAAAAAAACATGTCTATTTCTGAGAATAATAAATGGGTTGTATTAAGCTATTAATTTTCGAATGAAATTTGTTGAAAAAAAACAATATCGTTCACCGACAATCAGGAGGACTGTTTCTTCTATTTATCAATCGTCTATCATTTCCATAATGCAAATGATGTACACCTACAATTCGTCTTATAATTGCAGAAAGTTGGCTTCACTTCCCTCGCTCTGGGTATGTTCATCTCGATTCTGTTTGGATTCGTCTTTGGATTGATCTTGGGTACCACCGAAATGCCCTGGGGATTTGGAGACTTCCCCACCGAGGAGATGAAAGGACGGTAAGAATACGCATGCACACAGATTCATCTCACCACGCATTGTAACACTGGTAATGAAGGTCTTGTTAGGTCAAAAGAGCGTCCAAAACTGTAAAGCTTCATTGCCAATCCGAAAAGCACCCGTGCGTAATTTGCACACAACTGGGTGAAACATTGCGAACAAACATCATGAGCAAATTTCCCCCATTCAAACATGGTCCGGTTCGAGCTCAGCTAGATAAGTCGGTAATGTTTAATTTCCCTGCTGTTGCTGCTGCCTAGCGTTCGTGTATGAATAATGAGTGAAAATAAATCCAACTGGTCGGGAAGCTTGGGAAAATTAATTAAATGAAAATACCGTAGGAATGTGCCTAATAATTGAAAGTACGAAGGTTTCTGTTTGTTTATTTTATATCATTATACATTTCGGGAATAGCTAACCATGTGGCGGATTTGAGCACTGAATGTATGCTGTTCGCAGCAAGGCGGATAGATTGGTAGAAATTTTATTTTCAGCTATTCCTTCAATGTACTTTCGAATTGTGATGTTTTAAGAGGCAACTTACTGGCAGCCTCAGAAGGTGTTATCAATGATGATCATAAAAATGTGGGATTTAGTTGGCAAAAATAGCCACCAGAAAATTCCGAAGTTTTTTTTTCCGACGAATGGCAATAATTTGGTAAAACAAGTTTTTTTCTATATAAATCACTATAGAAAATCCATAGACACCAAAGAGGGATACAGAAGAAATCCAAATTGGGTTCCGTATTAGAAAAAAAATAAAAGGTAGGGGAAATGGATGTAATGTCGGCCGAAATTCCTCTAATTTGGGCTCATATATAAATTCAGCAATCGACTAAATTTTCAACAGCGACCAAAATTATCCATAAGTATAGTCCCAATGACGCGTTCATCTAGATAAAATTGAAAAATAGCAGATTTTTAGCGATGGGCCCAATCTTAGATCCATAGGCCAACATTAGAGCCATTTCCCCTAATATCTGAAATGGTTTTGCGCCCGAATTTTTATGTACTGTGCCTTAGATAGCTTTGCATCTATTAATAATGACAAAGCTTTAGCATCACTGTACTCATACAATGGATGATTTGATGATTTTTCCCATGCTTTAGCAATCCTTCTTGCCCGCGATGGACTTGTCTGCGTAGCCTCTTTAAGAATGTCAGCAGCATGTTTTTGTCCTGATTCGCGAAGCTATATTTGCGTTGCAAACACAAGTTCTTCCACTGGATGATTTTCACGAATGGCCGCTGTTTTTCTTCTCTTTGTTGATTCACTGCATTTGTCGAAAGGAATTGGCTTACGACCGATTTGGGCACTTGTTGATGATGAAGGAAGCATGTTCAGGATACTTGCAGGAAGCTTAAACGGTTTATCGAAAAATTCAACATGGTTATGCAACACCTTGCATGCTGAACGGTTATATTTAAGCCACAGTTTTTGAAAAGCATCACAAGTAACTTTTGTGTACTTTGCAACCTCCACAGCAACTTCCGGCATAATGTCGGAATCAATCAAATAATATTTGAGCACCTCTTTGAACACGCTGTGATTTTTGGTTGGTAAATATCTTCCTGCTGCTTTCCATATTGAAAACAGATGTCGTTTTTCTATTTCAACTAAAGGAATAAAAATTTATTCAAAAATGTTTCATCACATAACTTTCACAAAAAATGCAGTAAAGTTAAAAAAAAACGTACCTGTGGAAGCCATTTGTGTGTAGTCAAATACTCAAGCTTGAAAACTGAACCACTAGATAAACAAACGAACACTGTCACCACGACAACCATATCAATATTATACATGTAGGCATGATCTCACTTAGACATATTAAAAAAAAATGAAGTAACACTGGGTACGTGGTTGAGAATGACTATAATATGATTAATTGCTTTTACACTAAACATATCTTACAGTCGCTTACAGTCTAAGAGTTTTGCCATCATCTTAAAGTAAATTACTTGTAGTTTCACATGCATGGTTGATAACTTGCACCATTTTGCACCACATTGAGTTACATAAAAAATGGCCAAAAAAAAACAATAAAAACCTTAATAACTTTTTAATTTGAAAAACTACAGGGTTGCTATATTGGACAAAGTTTTGTATTTTAGCGTTGTCTATAACTTTCTCGAACATTTTAAAGTCGAAAAGGTTATAATAAAAAAGTTATGATTAAAAAACCACTTTTAAGGGGTTGTCGACAAATAACGTATCATATCTCCAAAAGTGAGCAAGTTAAGGTTTAGGTGTCTTCGACAAAGTTATTCAAAAGCATGATTCCTCAAACTTTTGTCAAGACACCAACCGTGTATATTGTAAAATTGAAAAAATAAATTTTCTATCTAACTTTAAGGGGGATTAATCCTTGTGCTGAAAAGCCCAAAAAAAGCGCATACATTTATTGATAAACTTCTCGCAAGACACCATAGCCCTAAATATCAAAATAAAGATGTTATTAATTAAGCGCGCAAAAACGACGATTTCAACCACTGTGCCCTGGTAAGCATGTTTAAAATGATTAAAATTGTTCAATTTGAAGTCGCTAGCGCCCCTGATATACATGTTCAGATTTTTTTTTTAATTTGAAATGATTAGCGCCCCTGGGGAATTTTTTTTTTAAATTTATTTTTTTAGTATGGAGTCCGGTAGACATGTTTAGGAAAAAAAATGCTTAATTGCAAGTGGCTTTCGCCCCTGGTAGACAAATTCGAGGAAAAATCGAAAAAAAATGTTCACTTTTAAATGGCTAGTGCACCTGGTAAACAAAAACAAAGTAGACAAAAATCTTAAATAAAAAAAATTTAAAAATTTTAAATTTGAAATTGTCTGCACCTACATGATCAGGGATAAAAAATTCATTCATTGAAAAATAATAACAAGTTATGGCCGCTAAAGGTCGTCATGCATAAGAGGTAGAGATTTGAGTTATTAACAAAAGTTGTAGCTAATTACAAAAAACAACAAAAGTTTTACAGGCCATTGAACGGAATTCTGTTCATAGAGAAAGTTAGAGGCAAATGAATGTAAATGATTTGCCATGTCTGCCCCAGCCACGGTCAGGGAAAAATTAAAAACAGTGCAACAGTGCAAGTCAAACGCGCACTCTTTGCCTAACCCGTAAGATGTACGCGGATATTATAGATATGTTGAGTTTAAATGGCTACCGCTTCTGGCAGGGAAAAATTAAAAACAAAATTACATTTGAAATGTGATAAACATTCTCAATTGAAGTGGCTAGCGTCGCTTATAAACACGTTAGGGAAGAAATAAGGAAGACACGAATCGGTTTCATGATCTCCAGAGATACCCTTCACCATCCCTCCCCAACAGAGGAGTTTGGTAAAGGGGATAATCAACCCGATTCGTGTCTTCCTGAAAATTGACCTTTGCTCTTTTTCTACTCTCTATATACAATTTTCACTCTGCCGTCTTCTAACGGAACTAGGGTAATTGATTCTGGTTGTACCTATCCAAAAACTGATGATGGTTGGACCTATTTTTTCAATCGTTAGTTTAGTCAATCTTCGCTAATTTTTTTTTTTTCAAATATCACTTTACTATCATAAAAAACTCATTTTCTTCAATTTGCATGGGTGTTTTATTGAAAAAACTTGAAAACAATTGAGTTTCAATGTGTTTTCAAAACAGTTCACTTTCCACGCATTAGCTCGTCATCATGCATTACTTTCAAACATACAAAAAAGGAATATTTTTAACATTTATTTTTATTTTCATGCAGTAAAATACTGCTCTAAGGTGTAAACAACGCGTAAGTACGCCATTTATCCATTGGTTTCACTAAAATGTTTGAATAATTGACGAAATTCGAATAGATAAATATGATCATGGTTGGACCTACGCATGATGATGGTTGGACCTATGTGTTTCCTAAGACGGCCGCTAGGTGCGCTTCGGTTTGTCTACATCCTTCATGCGCAGCTGATTTGAAATTCGATTTCGTTTTGGCTGAGTGATCAGTTTCTTCGATTGAAAAAATGGCTAAAGAAAAGAGTTATACAGTCGAAAATCTTCAAGAGGCTGTTCTTTTAGTAAGAAATAAATCACTTACCGCGGATCAGGCACAAAAAAGGTACAATATTCCGAAAACGACACTTCACGCGAAAATTAAGGGAAGCCACGGCAAGAAATATGGAAGGGAAATAGTGTTGAATGTTGATTTGGAGAACCAGCTAGCGGATTGGGTTTGTATGTGCGCTGCTTCTGGCAGTCCCAAGACGGCCAAAAAGATCTTGGAAGCTGCTAAAGACCTTGCGTCACTAGTTGGGCGTAAATTTAAAGGAGGAATTCCATCGTCAGGTTGGCTGAAAGGGTAACCACCGAGTTCCAAACTACCACAAAAGCGCCGAAAGAATCTGTTAAAATGAATTTACATTAAGCACTTCTCATACACCTTCTATGTGTGAATTAACTTGAAATAAAATGTTAACAAACTAAAAATTGCTAACTGAAACTTATTTCCGAAAAAAAAACTCCCAGGAGAAACAGAACTATAAAACCGGAATTAAGTTCTGAAATTCTGTCATTTTAAGCCCCTAAATTTCCCGGGGCACCCAGAAAATGCCCGGAAATGGCCAATGTGGTCCAAGGCACTCAATTTTGTTATTGATCTTGTTATCGAATTTGGAAGTAATGTGAAGTGTCGCATGATAGGTTTTATTCCTTCCATGTCAAAATTAGGTCCATGTTCCATATACCCTGGAATTTGTCTCCGGAACCAGTTGACCGATTCCAAAAATATTTGATAGCTTTCAATGGGACCACAACACCTATAGTTTGACGTTAAAAATTTTCCAAATCGGGTCAATGATTTCCGAGAAAATGAGCCATAATGAATAGCTAATTCGTGGAAAGTGAAGTTTTTTAAAAACGAAGTTAAACAAAAATTTCTGGATTTTTTTTAAATAGCAAATTCATTAAAATTGTATAAAAAGGGTTTTTTCATGATACCAATAAGCTCTAAACAAAGTTTTTGAACAAATATGGGCTAAACTAGCATTTTCAAAAATAAGTCCAACCATCATCATTTTTTAGGTCCAACCAAGATCAGTATAGGTCCAACCAACATCATAATTCTTTGCTGAATAAAAACGTTTTATAAAATCATTTGTTCATAATATATAACTTTTTATGTTATTATTAGAAACAAGAACGGTAGATCTTTCCCATAATCACACAAAACTTCGGAAAGTACTGTTTCAATTCTCTCGAGTTTCCAATCACTTCCTCAAGAATTGAATCATTTCCGAAAAGTTTTAAAGCCCTTCAGAAAATATCCAATCGTTTCAGAAAAATCGGAATCACTTTGGACAGCATAGATTTTTTTCAAAAGAGTTCGAAACCTCTTCTGAAAGTACCGAATCACTTTAGAAAATTTCGGAATCAGTTTGAAAAGTACTGGATTACTGCAAAAAAAGCATTAGAAAGTACTGAATCACTTCAGATAGTACCGACATAATTTAGTATGAGAATGATAAACCACTTGCGGTTGCTAATCCGTTATTACCAGATCACCTGTATTACACAGATAAGCAACAGACGATGCATTTGACTAACATCTGCAATCAGGGTGCCTTCCATTCATTTTGAATAAGAAAATGTTTTATGGAATGATAATGGAATAATAAGATTATATGCTAATATTTTGTTTGTGTAAGCAACAAGAAAATATTGTGAAGTTTGTGTCTGACGCATAATACCTGCCAACTTTGCTACATTACCGTCGCAATAAGCGATTTTGTCATTTATCTCACCCACTCTTCGCTCTTCACTCTTCGCGAAGAGGCGATCAGAAAATCGCTCATTGTGACTCTGTCAAAGCTAAATTTACATGTTTTGTGGGTCAAACATAAACTTTACAATCTTTTCTTGTTACATACACATACAAAATATTATCATAATATCTTATTATTCCATAATTTCATAAAACATGTTTTTCGCCAAAATGAATGGAATGCAATGTGTAACGCTAGGTTGGAAATCGAGAAATCCTCCTCACTTCCACGAATTTTTCAATCGTTTTTCAACAGGATTCACTTAAAGGAGTATTGATTCTTATCGCTAAGCCATATTAGTACTCAATTGTGACACATCGATAGTCAACTCTCCACAACTCGATGTCCACTAACACGATATCTAGTTATATAACCGTAGTAAAAATGAATGTCATGGCTACTGTGATAGCGACTTTGTTTGGGGTTGTTATTCTATAACTCGACGGTCCCTATAATATCGAGTTGTGGAGATTGAACTGTAGTTATGTTTCCATAAACGAGAATTATCTGTACACTGACATTACATTATATTAGGAAAAATTGAAATCACGTTGTAAAAGTTCTGAATCACTTCAGAAAGTACTGCATTACTTGAAAAAACTTAGGACCACTTTGGGAAGTACTGGACCATTTCAGAAAAAGCTTAACACGTACAGAATCACTTTGAACAGTACTGAACTTAACAAATGTTTTAAATCTCTTCGGAAAAAGTTAAACACTGGATCCGTGTATTCAGCTCGTAAAATATTTAATAGCTTCGAAAAGCTTAAGTTCAGCAGGGAAAATATTGAATCTCTCAAGGATAGACTAACTTCCGAAAGTGTTATAACACTTTCGGCTGTAATGCCACGAGCTCTTGGCACTGAAACAGTAAACGTATTGCCTATTAAGGTTTCCAACGGTTACATCAATTGTAACCCACGATTGCGTTATTAAGATGCACACATGCTCGAGGAGTTTGGCACTCCACTTTTGTTAAAAGTAGCAAAAGTTGGGCTCACGAGGTTTCTTATACCCCGTTCACATTACAGCCTATATCACGTTATATATGCTGTCATGCAATGAGCACTCATACATAGGATTTCCAGTGAAAACTAGATGTATGAGTGCTCATTGCAAGACAGCGTATATCACGTGATATACGCTGTAATGTGAACGGGGTATTAGATAAAAGTTTCCTTTACGAAAGTAAGGTTCTTGTACGAGAGCCACATGAGATGTGTCATTTTGCATTAATCTACATGTTTTTATCGTTGCTGTTCTTTTATGCAGGCGATTGATTTATGCTATATTAACAGTAGTCATAATTTATAACTACTCAACATATCACACATCTACCACCTCCAACGTAAATTGAATAGTGACGTAGAAACCAAATTGAATATGATTTGTAAAACGCCAGAGGTATTCTGAGTTAAACGCATAAAGCAAATCCATATTTAGGTAAATTTTTATTTGTATTTTTTTTTTGTTTTTTTAATTTAAGTTTCATTATATCCATAATCTTCCCATTAGATAGTCTCGTCCTTGCTACTTAGGAAGAATTTCAATAAATTGATCAAGGGTTTTCCTGAAATGTATAGAAAGTTAAGAATGATATGAGATAAATAAGAAAATACAAATTACAGTGCTTGGAAAATGTTGACGGAACTTTTGGAAATTTATCAAATGCCACCTTCGCCACCTGTAGAGTACGATGCTGCTCATCGTGCAGCAGCAATAAAGTGCAAATGGTTTGCAACGTACCATATCTAGATAATACACTATTTGAAACAACGTCATCTGGTGGACGCGTCGTTATTTTAAGCAGATTTATATTTTAAGGGCGCAAATCAATATTGGGTACGACTACTTAGCTCAAATTTTAGAATCACAGCACTGCAAATTGGAATTAAGGAAAAACCAAAAAAACATACTTAAGATCCTTACGATGGACTCCGGTGAATTTCAAGAATAATTCTAGAAATGAATCTCCATTGCGACTCTGAAGGATTCCAAGAGAGATAACTGAATATTACAAACCACAACCAACCAATCAATCAAATAAGGTGTTCGGTGAATCACCAGAGTTAAGGCGATTTTGTTGAAAATCTAATGGAATTCTCATTCTCAGTCCAACAGAAACTTCAAATAACTCCAAGGAAGATTATCAAAAATCCCAATCGAAATAACATAGAATTTTAACAGGAGATTTAGAACACAACAATGGATCGCAATGAATTCCACAAGGAATTGAGGAGATAAATTTTAGTTGGATCTCCAAAACTAGAGAAATTATGGAAAGTCTTAGCATTTAAATTTCCGAAATACTCCAAGAAGGAATCTACCGAATTCACAAAGTATTTCGGGAGAATGAATTAGCAAATCTAGAATATAACATCAAATCGGAGAACCTCACTAGGTCATCGATTAAAAATAATCTCAAAAAGATTCCGTAAATAATCCCAACAGAAATTTAAGAAAATCCCAATAGAATAGAAACGTTTACATTATCTAATGGTGTGATTAGGTCATATAAATAAAATTATTTGCCTACTCGCTCCGTAAGAAATGCAAGGAAAAAAGGGTAAACTCATTTTATTCATATGGCCAATTGATTTAAGTATTGATAATCTTGATTATAAAGTAAGACTTCCATCAAAATCAAAGAAAAAAAAAAATGTGTATGATTTAACTGTATTAGACTGTTATTATTTATGAAACTATCTATAACGCCAATACCATCAAAGTGGAAAACAAATACAAGTATACGCTTGATTGATTGACATTTGAGCCTTAAATGCCGTTTCCCCGCACCATTGGAGTCCACGTAGAAACCATGGAGTCTTTAAGGTAGTTGATTAGTTTTCAATATCCCATTATCTTTAACAAACAATTAATTCCAGGCTTATACATTTTTGCATTCGTATTAATATAATCGTTACGATGAAATCAATGGCCTGGATAAAACTAATTATTTTACTCCATAGCACTCAGAAAAAAACTCTGTAAAACATTTAACTGATTTTGCTCTACTCAAATCGTCAAACCAGTTGCTGAATGTTTCCCTATTGATCAACGTTGATCAAAAGGCAGAGCAGTTCAACAAGAAAGGGGAAAAACGTTGATTGCCTTCATTACCATCATCTCAATCATCGACATCATCATCATCACCACTCGACATCGAGGTCCAAGCTGCGCTCGAACCAGTTGACAAATGCACTCAATAATAGCAATTTCAATTTCATCTCAACAAACATCGAATCCATTATTCAGCTTTGCAGTGCTTTTCTTCGTCCTTTTATGTTTCGATGCATTTTATTTAATTCCTCTTTTTCGGACCTGATCGGTGCAACCAGTGGAAATGCCCGGTCGCTCTGGATGGGCATCCTGTGGGCGCTTACATCGGGCAGTGGAGTTGCGGTGGCGCTCCTACAAGGATCGGCAGGACCATTGATTGGGGTTGCGATTTCTGCCTCACTGCTGCCACCGGTTGTTAATTGCGTGAGTATACATGGCGATTTGTTCAGAGGAGGCATATTTTTAGCTCGCTAATAGGATTTTATTGAAAGTATAAATTTAAAACCCATTATAATCTTTGTCGTGTAATAAACAGTATCGAATAAAAATTGATTCAAACTTCATCTGATTCATCTCTAGGAATATGGAAGAGTACAACATCATTTTTTCTCAACTAGGGTAGATGTACCAGTTATGGCCATACGTTTCTATTATGATGTATCCAGTTATGGCCTATGGAATTTCCAAAGGCCATAATTGGAACACACCATAATTGGAGCATATAACATATATGGCCGAAACAAATGAATACTTTTACTTTTGTCACACAACATTGTAATCTGGTGAGGCACACTAAAAATCGTTTAAAAAACAATAAAGCTTTATATAAGGAGTCAGTGGCGCAGCGTGACTTGGTGACACTATGGTATTTAAACACTCTTTTCCATTTATCCATATTTTTGAAGCCATGCTAAAGGTAAGAGAAGGCTACGCCTTCTAATAGATTGTATACTAGACTGATGCAAAATTTGAAATTTTCGCTCCACAGCACTATGGTCGAAAACGCAAAATTCCACGACAAAAATCGATATCTCGAAAACTATGCACTCTAGGGGTTTGACGTCTTCAGAAGAGTTTATCTACCAGATAAGACCTTTCTTTTGGTGTAGGTGGTGACTAGGGTGGTCCTCTTTTTTCAAAATAAAAAACCATAACTTTTAATTTATATGTTTTAGGAGAATACTTGCTTCCACAAAGTCAAAGATAATTTAATGTCAAGCAACTTTGCTAAAGACATCAAAATTCTATCTCATCAATACATAATTCTAGGAACGTTTTTCTAAATTCAGATAGGGTGGTTCTGAAAAAAACAGTTTTTTTTTCTAACTTTTTTCTTTCTGTTTTATTTTGAGAGCCATCTTCAAAGAACTTCAAGATCATGAGAATACGCATCTTTTGAGAAGAGGTGGGAATTGATAGTTGTCATTTTACGAAAGTTATTCCTGTTTTTGTGTAAAAAAAGCCAATTTTTCCAGAACACTTTCCTCCAAAAGGAGCAAATATGAGCAAAACTTCTACGCATATTCTGGAAGAACGTGGTTCTGCCCACAAAATCTATAGAATATTATCTGTACCCTTTTGTACCCTTGATGAGAAAAAGATGATTGGAACTAGAGATAACATTGGTTAAAAAAGACCAAAAACACCCCTACAGGGAAATTTAATTTTACATAATTCAATTATAAGGCCAGTAAGCGATTAACGATGGCCCATATTATGCATGCATTTACATGATGATGTTTAAATATATAAGTGTTTCAGATTTGTATGTAAATGTGAATGTTTCTTTTTTGTTATCAGTGTACAGCAGTAGTTTTTGTCCACAATTTCTGTTGCAGTGCTTTTATATTTACCTGTTCACTACCTATCTCAATGAACTTACGCAAACGCAAACGCAAACAAAACATCATAACAAGAGCGAATTTTCATTAGATAAAGATTGTGATAAAGATTTATATTAAGTTCGATAACATGAGATTTGTTAAATATAAGATTATTCGACGTTTTGCTTCATCAAACGTGTATACGACCATTTCATAAGTCATTATGATAGGTTGCACGCTACTTTCATCTAAGCATTACGCTGTATTATAAACTGACATGTTACTTACGTTGAGAGGGTTTCGGTAATTTTTAAGCTATCATGTTGCTTACATCATGTTCGTTTCGTCGATTCGCTAAACATAAAAAATGTCTCAAACCGACAACAGGCAAACTCGCCCTATGTTGCAAAGTAGTATTGCTGTCGGGTTGTGCGGCATAAGTTGATTTTTCAATGTGCAAATTTTAATGTTTATTATCAAAACATCGCTATGAAAATTTAAACCCACATTAATGAACGCTCTATTTATCCCATCGCATGGAAATCTCGTTTTTGTTTACATTGTTGCTTACGACCCAATGAAAATTTGCTCTTGATAGTTTAATAAATTCAAATATTCGACATTTCGTTTGGATATACAACGTACAGTGTTGTAAATATCAAACGTACAGTTAAATATAAACCAGCAAACACGCTGTAAACGTTCATTGCTAGAATTCAATAATCATTCAAAATCAACCAAACAATCTATTATTGTAATAAATGCCTCATTCATAGAGCTTTTTGATGTTTAATCTGTGCACACTACTGCACCATTTAAATCAAACGAATGCGATCAAGACGGAAACAGATGAGTGAAAAAACAAACCGCCCATTCATCGATGTGTGCTAGATAGAGAAAGACGATTAAGGTGATACTCTAAGGAAGCCTTAGCGTGAAACTTCAAAGGCACAAATGTCAGCTTCCACAAAACATACAAATCTGAAATTGCTACTCTCTGTTTGTAGTAGCATAGCAAACAAGGAGTAGCAATTTCGAATTTGTATGTTTTGTGGAAGCTGACATTTGTGCCTTTAAATTTTTACGCTAAGGCTTCCTTAGAGTATCACCTTAAACGTCTAAAAGGTCTCTTGCTGTTTTTATCTCTCTGACAACTATTATTCAAAGCCAACTTGGACAGAGTGTTTTTTTTTTTTTTTTCTTTTATGTTGGAAGCATTGTACTTCATCGTAGTGCTGACTGTGTCATGGCATTTGTTTCCATACGCGTCAAGACGGGATTTAAGTTTGTGGCAGCAAGTATATACGTAAATCAGTTGAAACTTTAAAAAGATAAATTTCCGGAAGTATTCCAGGTAAGCGCTTGGTCAAATAAAGTATGTTTGTCGTTCATTTTTGAAAATTACGAATGAGGTTTATTTTAAAGTATGGATAAGCGCAAATTATTCAACCTGTGGAAAAATGCGTCCGGAAACACTATTGATAAACGTAATAGTGTCTGTCAAGAAGTCTTCAAAATGCATAATATCGTGGAAAAAAATACGAGGGATAAAATTGCTCTAATGGTGAAGGATACATGCAATTATTTCAAGAAATTGTACACTAAGCACAAACGAAACGCAACACGAGTTTTCAAATCTAATCAGAAATATTTTGATAAACCGTTCAAACTTCCTAAGGAAATTTTAGGAAACATTTCATTGTCACCCAATGCTCAAACTCAAAGCCAGATTTTGTCAACAATCGATACCGCATTGCCCTTAAATGTGGCTAGTCGAGGAACACAAATTTTAAATTATTTAATTATAGTTGGTAAATACATAGCATAATGCATTAATCCACAGGTCGTCCGAAAAAGCGTTTGAATGAGCTTTGCTTGGAGAGAAAGCGTAAAATCTCTCGCCGTCAAGCCACAGAATTTGATAATTGTGAGCTAATTCTTCTGGAATCGGTCAGCAACGCAGCAAGGAAAAATGGGAACACGTTTTTGTGCAAGATAATTAAGAAAATTATAGCTAACTTCGAAAATCTTGAAAATCTTCTGGAACGCCTTGACACAGATATTCCGAAACCATTCACACAAATTCAAGCTTTGAGTTTATTGTTGGACGAATCAATGAGTAAAGCTACTTACATAAGACTAAGGAGGGACACGAAGGAAAAGAACTTGAACATTTTCCCTAGCTATGATCAGGTATAGTTGAACTTCAAATTACTCAATCTTATAAATGTTTGAAAAAGCTGTGGAGTTCCTTTTTTTATCGTTAAGGTCATGAAAACGAAGGATGAATGTCGTCCTGATAACAACGAGATGAAAATCACTTCAACCAAAGCTTCTACAACGATGAGTGCACTTGCTAAGCATACGATCAGTAGGATTGTGCATCACAATTCATTGATTGAGCTAGCAGATGAAGGTAAACATAGGTTACTCTCATTTCAACAGTTGAGCATCATTTTTGTTTATAGCTATCATGATTTTTTCTTACGGGATGGACGGAACCACGGGACAGTCTGTATATAACCAAGCCGATGACAAAGGAGAAATGGTAGACGATCATTCCTTGTTTACCGTAACCATGACTCCTTTGCAAATGAAAAGTATATGTGGAAAGGTCTTATGGGAAAACGATGCACCACAATCGGTGCGATCAGTAAGACCACTTATGCTGGAGTATGCAAAAGAACAAGCGGAATACGTACTAAGAATTGATAAAGATGTGAAAGAACAAATTGACAATTTGGAGATCTTTGAGTTCTGTAATAACGATAAAAACATTAAAATTGAATGTAAATTTTACGAAACGTTGATTGACGGAAAGATATTGAACATACTTACAGATACGAAATCGTCTCAATCTTGTCCTATTTGCCATGCAAAACCAAGCCAGTTTAATAAAAAAAATAGGCTAGATTTTCCAACATCCGACAAGGCACTCCACTTTGGTTGCCAGCCGTTGCACGCGACAATTAATATTTTCAATTGTTTGCTGCACATTTCATACAGAATAGGAATTCGTGTTTGGCAAGTAAGGAAACCTGATGAAAAGGATTACTTTAAACAACGAAAAGCACACTTTGATATTCCTAAGAAAGGTGGAGCTGGATCGACAACAACAGGAGGATTATGCCGGAGGCTTTTATCGGAGCCATGTAAACTTGCATTGGCACTCGGTCTAGACGAGAACTTAATTAGGAACCTATCCGCGATCTTGCTGATTATAAACAGTCTAGATAAAGTAAACCTGGAGGACTTCGACCAATTGTGCAATGCAACATACCAGATGTATATTGAAATGTACGAGTGGTATCCCATGCCAGCTACACTTCACAAAATTTTAGTGCAGTCCACCAGCATCATGGCAACTCTACCCCTATCATCTGGATTTATGGGAGAACAAGGTTCTGAAGCAAGAAACAAATATTATAGACACGATCGACTATTTCACGCACGGAAAGTCTCAAGAGCTGCCAATATGGCAGATGTATTTTATCGGGCGATGGATTCTTCCGACCCAATTCTAGCAGCTCACAAAAGAAAGAACAACCCAAGGAAAGATTTATCTAACTGCTTGCAAGAATTGGGGTTTCCTTGGTTTGA